GGTCAAGTCTCTCCGAACCACTCAATCAGAACTGAAACAAGAGCTTAGCCGCACGATGAAAGAAAAACTGGAGATGGAGGTAAAATGTTCTCTTGGCAGGAGATTTATTCTAGTGTGTTGTGTCGTCGAACAATTGGAAGATCCAGTAGTTTTAACGCTTAAATCTTATGCAATGTTCAGAGGATTGTACAACGGGAGAAGGATAGAGAAGAAACTGCAAAAACCGCAAACAAGAAGTTGTTCCATGAGTTTGATGTTCTACAGAATCGGCTTCAAGAGTGCAATGTCAAGTTCCACATCGAAGAGGAGGACAGTAAATTAATCATGGACTCATCATCTACATCCGAAGCCATTGATCTACTAGCAACATCTGATAACCGAATAGGTCTTCTAATTGCTGAGGTAGGTTCCACCAACTACATTTTGATGCTGATGTCGAGACACCAACGTTAATGTTTTCTTTCTGGATTAAAATCTTCTGCTCAAAACAGACGCAGCTTCTCTCAGAAGATGTGCAAAAGCTGAAGATAACAACATCGGAAGAAGATCGTGGAACAGATGATGTAGTAAGGAAGATGCTAACAGAGGTTCTGATTGATAATGCCAGATTGAGGAAGCAGATTAACTCTCTTCTTCGTTGCTCTTTGTCCGGACATGGAATTTCTGTCAGAGAATCCACAGCAGCAGAAGAAGAAGAGCAAGAAGGGAGTGTTGATCTAGCAAGAACTGTTCTCAGCAAGATCCTTGAGAAATGATTTTTAACAGACTTTTTTCTCGCAAAGCTGTGTAACTGTGTATGTATGTTATACTGTAATAAAATTTATGAACTTCTCTTGTAATAATACACTTTTTTTCTTGTAATACGAAATCTAAATTTTGGTATGAACGTGAGTGAAAACGCAAACGTGGTTTAGACGCGTTTTTGAAGTTTCAAGAACTAAACGCATAACGTGAGATGCGTTTTAGGTGGACAATCGTGTCTGTCTTATCCTCCTCTGTTCACGCCATTCACAACACCAGAAAAAACGACAGCTTT